ATAAAACACATTCCTTTGACCCAAAGATAGCAGATGCTAAACAGGGAGGGGTCAATTTTACTTTAACTTAATTAAATTACACTGGAAATAATATAGAAATAAAAAAATAAATAAATAAAAAGAGGAAAAATATAAGAAGTTCATTTCTTGAGTTTCTAGGTGTACGAAAAATATTGTAGAAATTTGAGTTAAATATTAATAATAATGATAATAGTAATAATAGTAATAACAATAATACTAATAATACTACGCGCTCCTTGGTAACATTTAACTAGACGTACATTATGAAGTTACGAAGACTTAAAATAATAAACTTACCTTCACATATAGAACCATTCCCAATGTAGGTAGGATTGCAAGAGCAGTTGTATGAGCCCTGAGTATTAACGCAAGAGGCATTCAGATGGCAGTCGTTCATCTTGACGACAAAATCCTCACTGCACTCATCAATATCTAGAAGATAACGTCCTCGGTTGATAGAGATAGGAAAGATTTGTAACGCGCAAGTTTACTAACATAAGTGCAGTTTCTAGCCAGTGAAACCAGCCGCTTCTCATGTCTCAGTTCAATACTGATCGGCACAATTCACAACATGGAGGTCAATACATACGTAGCCTCTGGATGTATTGCATTCACAGGACTGGATTTGGCCATGAGAATAACGATTCTCCAGGTAAATTTTGTTCATTTTTTAATTTCACTCCATCTGCCATGTCTAAAGTTGTAAATCACATTGCGTCTTTTCATGTATGACAGACTCTTTATGATGTACTAGGTTTATTATCTGGTTTACATGTACATAAGGGGGGTTAATTTGTCTCTAATGACAATTAATTGTTCAACAGACTTAAGTCAATGGTTTATAAATCGATCATGAAAGATATAAACCATAAAAATTTCCCTTCTCGATAGAAATTATGCAATATATCTCAGAACTTGAAACAAGGCATATTAAGCCTGAGGGTTCATAATATTCTCTAAACTCCGCAAAATACATGTGTAGTTCCTCAGGCGATATTGTGTGTACTTTAATAATAATTGAAATATCAGACATTTGGGTGGGCGCTTATCGAAAATTTCGGCTAAAACTGAGGGGGGGAGGAGAGGAGGGGGCACTTATTTGCGTCATCGATTAGTCGAGACGGGTGCTTCTTAAGTTACCTCAGCAATAGGACATAAAATCAAAATAATACATAATACATAATACATAAAGGAACTCTGCAAGCACATGAACATAGAAAAATTTCGAATGGAAAATAAATTATTCTGCTGTACTGATTTCGCTGTTGTTGAAGGTTGAATAGTTATATAAAAAATGTCGCAATAGAAACAGATTTTCCCTGTACCTATACTATTTAAAAAACTGAGGGAGTAGAGGGGTTGGTGGGGGTGGTTATCCGAGCGTAGCCGCATATTCGAGAAAAATATTCCAGGTTATGGTGATATGATATATCTCTTATTCGATGGTAAGAGAAAAAATCTTGCTAATTGCCTTCTTTTATTCTCTTCCCTTCTGGACTCGTAAAATATCCGCACGCATTATTAGAAAATTGTGTATCTATGCATATTATGATATCCATAACTTAATAGAAATACGAGGTCTGGCCGTGAAAACCATTGCGTTGCCTCTTGATCATTAGCCCAGTTATGAAGACAATTCTGGTTATGGAAAGGTGTTTTGCTCGACAAAAGGTATCGCTGTTCTAATCTACATTGGCAAGACTGTCCATCTCTAATGTATCCTTCCTAGCAGATGCAATAATGTGAACCATTAGTGTTGGTACAGTTAGCATTTGCATCACAAACATCAGCGTTGCATTCATCAATATCTGTGAACACAATAGATTTGCAATGGGTAACTGAATAGAATTTGTGATGAACAGTTATTCTACTTTTTTTCAAAGTCTAACCTAATCTTACCTTGACATGACTCTCCTTTTCCAGTGTATCCTTCCTTGCAGGTGCAGCTATGGGAGCCATTAGTGTTTGTACAATTCGCATTTACGTCACAATCATGGCTTCCATTGTTGCATTCGTCGATATCTAGAAGCATAAGTGATATACAAAAAGTATGGTAATAGAAATACGAGAGTGGTGTGTGACAACAGGTCTCTAAAATGAGGGCTTATTTCCTTAGGCAATTGTTTCTATGCAAAGTTGCTTGTTTTAAATAGTGAAGGCTACTCTTGTTCACCTTGACATGACTGTCCATCTCCAGTGTATCCTTCCTTGCATGTACAAATATGAGAACCATCTGTGTTGTTACAGTTTGAATTAACATCGCAAACATGGTTACCATCGCTACACTCATTGATATCTGAGAACAAAAATGAACTGCCAAAACGTTGCTCGACAGAAGCAAACATAAGATTTCTAAGTTTTTGAGGAAATAGCTTTTTTTTTCTATTTGCTAAGTCTAATGCAGTGATTATACCTTGGCATGACTGTCCGTCCCCGGTGTATCCTTCCTTACAAGTGCAGTTGTGAGAGCCGTCAGTGTTGGTACAATTTGCAGTCACGTTACAAGCATGGCTGCCACCGAGGCACTCATCGATATCTGGTAGTACAAATGATATAGATATAGAATACTTCATGCAAAGTCTGTCTGTATGGTATTTTCGCACGAGCTCGTAGTATCGGAAATTGAGAGTGTCATAATTTTGGCTGGCCTCCGTTTCCGGCCAGCGGTCATCATATTAGTACCTAGGTCACCGCATATAAAATATGGGCATTGATCATTATTTACGTGTGATTTAGTTTAGTGTTCTTCTTGCTTCGGAATAAAACGTGTGCGTGTCTTACATTCTACGCCTCCTGTTCTTTTGAAAAAGAACCACAACAGAGGGAGTGAACGCAGCAAACGAGTAAGATTTTTCATATAAAGCAACGAGCCTTTACATGCCTTACGGACAGACTTTACGTGATGTACTAGGTTTATTATATAGTTTACATGTACATAAGAAGAGTAATTTCCTCTTTTATAACAATTAATTGTCAAACAGACAATGGTTTACAAATCGATCATGAAAGATAAAAACCATATAAATTTCCTTTTTTAATAACAAGGTATGTTACGCCTGAGGGTTCCTAATCTTCTATGTCTTTAAGTTGAAAAGAGTGAATATACTCCGCAAGATACATGTTTAGTTCCTCAGGCGATATTGCCTGTAGTTCAATAATTGAAATATTTGACATTTTCAATGAGCGCTTGGGCGCTTATTGAAAAATTCGGCTAAAACTGGGAGGGATAGGGGGCACTTATTTGTAGGATGGGCACTTTGGCGATCAGTCGAATGGGGCGCTTCTTAAGTTACCTCAGCAATGGGACATGAAAATCAAAATAAAAGATAATACATAAAGGAACTCTGCAAGCACATGAGGATTTAAAAAAATCTGAAATTGAAAGTAAATTTATTCTGCTGTACTGATTGCGCTGTTGTTGAACGTTGAAAAGTTATAAAAAAAAGTGTGGCAGTAGAAACAGATTTTCCTTGTATCTTAATTATTTAAAAAAAGCGAGGGAGAGAAGGGTGGGGTGGGGGGGGGTTATCCAAGCGTGGCCGCATATTCGAGAAAAATATTCCAGGTAATGATTAAATGATAAATCCTATATTCGATGGTTTATCATATACTACGAGAAGAAATCTTGTTCATTGCTCTTAATTATCCTCGTTCCTTTCGCGCTCAGAAAAATACCAAGAAACTCGAAAAGTATCCGCGCGTATTATATTTTAAATCTTCGAAAACTGTGAATGCATGCATATAATGAAACCCGTAACTTAATAGAAATACGAGGTAGGGGCATGAAAATCATTACGTTGCTTCTTGATCATAACTTCAGTTACGAAGACAATACTTATTATGAAAAGCTTCTTTGCTCGACATGAAGTATTGCTTTTCTAATCTACGTTGGCAAGACTGTCCATTTATAATGTATCCTTCCTAGCAGATGCAATTATATGAACCATTTGTGTTGGTAGAGTTAACATTAGCATCACAAATATGACTATCATCGTTGCATTCATCAATATCTGCGAACACAATAGATTTGCAAAGGATCACTGACTAACGAAAAAAAATATTAGCCAGTTTGTCGCATAACAAGGCAATTATTATTATTATCATTATTATTATTGTAATTATTATTATTATCACTATTATTACATAAGTGACGTATAAAAAGTAATCTAATGGTAATACGAGAGTGGTGTGCAAAAACAGGTCTCTAAAATATGGGCTAATTTCCATGGGCGATAGTTTATGTGCAAAGCTGCTTGTTTTAATTAGTATATGCAACTCTTATTTACCTTGGCATGACTGTCCATCTCCAGTGTATCCTTCCTTGCAAGTACAAATGTGAGAACCATCTGTGTTGTTACAGTTCGAATTGACATCGCAAACATGGTTGCCATCGCTACACTCATTGACATCTGAGAACAAAAATGAATTGCCAAAACGTTACTTGACAGAGACAAATATCAAATTTCTCAGTTTTGAAAGAAAGAGTTTTTTTTTTAATATGTGGGAAACTTCATTCTCCTATTTGCTAAGTTTAATATGATGATTATACCTTGGCATGAGTGTCCGTCCCCAGTGTATCCTACCTTACAGGTGCAGTTGTGGGAGCCGTCAGTGTTGGTACAATTCGCACTCACGTCACAGGCGTGGCTTCTATTGAGGCACTCATCGATATCTGGTAGTACAAATGATATAGATATAGAATAATTCGTGCAAAGTCTGTCTTTATGGTATTCACGCACGAAATCGTAGTATCGGAAGTCGAGGGAGTGAACGCAGCAAAGCACAAGATTTTTGATATAAAGCAACGATTGTTTATATACCGTGCGGACTGACTACACGTGATGTATTAGGTTTATTATATAGTATACATTACATAAGGAGAGTAAATTCCTCTTTTATAACATTTAATTGTCAAACAGACAATGGTTTATAAATCGATCATGAAAGATAAAAGCCATATCAATTTCCCTTCTCGATAGAGATATTGCAACATAGTGACAGCTGGTAAAAAATAACAAAATACCTCTCAATACTTGAAACAAGGCATGTTAAGCCTGAGGGTTCATTATCCTCTTTGTCTTTAAGTCGAAAAGAGCGAATAAACTCCGCAAGATACATATTTACTTGCTCGGGCGACATTGTGTCTACTTTAATAATTGAAATAATAGACATTTTCAAGGAGCACTTGAGCCCTTATTAAAAATTTCCGCTGAAAATGGGAGAGGGAGGGGGCACTTGTTTGTAGAGAGGGCGCTTTATCGATTAGTCGAGAGGGGCGCTTCTTAAATTACTTTGGCAATAGGACATAAAATCAAAATAATAGATGATACATAAAAAATTCTCTGCAAGCACATGAAGATAGAAAAACTGAAATGGAAAATAGAATTATTCTGCCGTACTGATTGCGCTGTCGTTGAAGGTTGAAAAGTTACATAAAAATTGTGGCAGAAGAAATAGATTTTCCTTGTATCTACTCTATTTAAAAAAAAGTGAGGGAGAGAAGGGTGGGGTGGGGGCGGTTATCCCAGCGTGGCCGTATATTCGAGAAAAATATTCCAGGTAATGGTTAAATGATATATCCCTTATTCGATGGTTTATCATATAATACGAGAAGAAATTTTGCTCATTGCTCAAAATTATCCTGTTTCCTTCCGCACTCGGAAAAATACCGAGCAACTTGTAAAATATCCGCGCGTATTATATTCTAAAACATCGAAAAATGTGAATGTATGCATATGATGAAACCCGTAACTTAATAGAAATACGAGGTCGGGGCGTGAAAATCATCACGCTACTTCTCGATCATAACCTCAGTTACGAAGACAATACTTGTTATGGAAAGCTGCTTCGCTCGACATCAAGTACCGCTGTTCTAATCTACATTGGCAAGACTGTCCATTTATAATGTATCTTTCCTTACAGATGCAATTATGAGAACCATTAGTGTTGGTACAGTTAGCATTAGTATCACATACATGGCTATCATCGTTGCATTCATCAATATGAAAACAATCTATTTGAATAGGGTAACTGACTAGAGAAAAAAAATTTTAAACAGTTTGTTGGATAACAAGACAATTATTTGTGATGAACAGTTATTCTCCTTTTTTCAAAATATAAACTAATTTTACTTTGGCATAACACTCCTTTTCCAGTTAATCCTTCCTTACAGGTGCAGCTATATGAGCCATTAGTGTTTGTACAATTCGCATTTATGTCACAATCATGGCTTCGTTTGCTGCATTCGTCGATAGCTAGCAGCGTTAGTGATGTATAAAAGGTAATTTAATAGAAATACGATAGTGGTGCGTAAAAACAGGCCTCTAAAATGTGGGCTAATTTTCATGGGCGATAGCTAATATGCAAAGTTGCTTATTTTAAATAGAGTGGGCTACTCTTATTCACCTTGACATGACTTTCCATCCCCTGTGTATCCTTCCTTGCAAGTACAAATATGAGAACCATTTGTGTTGTTACAGTTCGAATTAACATGGCAAACATGGTTGCCATTGCTACACTCATTGACATCTGTGAACAAAAATTAATTGCCAAAACGTTACTAGACAGAGAGAAAAACATCAAATTTCTAAGTTTTAATGGAAAGAGTTTTTTTATTAATATTTTTGAGAAACTTTATTCTGCTATTTGCCGGGTCAAATGTAATGATTATATCTTGGCATGAATGCCCGTCTCCAGTGTATCCTTCCTTACAGGCGCAGATATAAGAGTCGTCAGTGTTAGTACAGTTCGCATTTATGTCACATACATAGCTTCCAGCGCTGTACTCGTCGAAGCCCGGGTACAAAAGTAATGAAGTAAGGAACAACTCAAGAGCGTGAAAACATTCATTTTAACTTTAACCCTGGGAGGAAATATGACATCGTTCTGGCCTGATTGGTAGGTAAAAAAGGTAGCTTATTAGAGGAATAACACGAGAGCGTGAAAACAATAGTTATCTGCTCATTATTAACCATCTTGTAACTTTTAGGCGTATTCAGAAGCCTACTTCACTGTTGTTGGACACGAACGCTTGCAAAACCCCTCCCAAAGCTATTTAACCACACAGATAACTACATCCGCTCTCATTGACTACTTTGCAACTTTGGGATGTATTTTTTGGAATAACTTTATTTGTTATAAGAGCCACATACTTGCAAAACACCCCACCGGGTAATTCAAACAGACAGATAACATTATACAATTGAAATTTTCCACTGGAATGCTCTGAAGTCTTTTAAACAGGCTACTGTCACGGCCTCGCGGCTACCTGTGTGCGCGTGCACGTTCTTTCATTGAATCGCTTACCTTATAAGAGGGAACGCAATAGAAATATGAGAGTGGTGCGTAAAAACAGGTCTCTAAAATGTGGGTTAATTTCCATGGGCGATAGTTTATGTGCAAGGCTGCTTGTTTTAAAAAGTGTAGGCTACTCTTATTCACCTTGACATGACTGTCCATCTCCAGTGTATCCTTCCTTGCAAGTACAAATGTGAGAACCATCTGTGTTGTTACAGTTCGAATTAACATCGCAAACATGGTTGCCATCGCTACACTCATTGACATCTGTCAACAAAGATGAATTGAAAAACGTTACTTGACAGAGACAAACATCAAATTTCTGTTTTTAACGAAAGAGATTTTTTTTATTTGTGGGAAACTTCATTCTGTTATTTGCTTACTCTAATTTAATGATTATACCTTGGCATGAGTGTCCGTCCCCAATGTATCCTTCCTTACAGGTGCAGTTGTGGGAGCCGTCAGTGTTGGTACAATTCGCAGTCACGTCACAAGCATGGCTTCTACTGAGGCACTCATCGATATCTTGTAGTGCATAGTATAAGAAGTCGAGCGAGTGAACGCAAACGAGTAAGATTTTTGATATAAAGCAACGATCGTTCATATACCGTACGGGCAGACTTTACGTGATGTATTAAGTTTATTATATAGTTTGCATGTACGTAAGGAGAGTTAATCCTCTTTTATAACATTTAATTGTCAAACAGACAATGGTTTATAAATCGATCATGAAAGATAAAAACCATACAAATTTCCCTTCTCGATAGAAATAATACAACATACTGACAGCTGGCAAAAAATATCAAAATACCTCTAAATACTTGAGAAAAGGCACCTTAAGCCTGAGTGTTCATAATCTTCCCTGTCTCCAAGTCGAAAAGAGCAAATAAACCCCGCAAGATACATGTTTAACATCTAGCTCGTAAAATATCCGCGCGTATTATATTTTAGACTTTCGAAAAATGTTATATGATAAAACCAGTAACTTAATAGAAATACGAGGTCGGTGCGTGAAAATCATCACGCTGCCTCATGATCATAACCTCAGTTACAAAGACGATACTTGTCATGGAAAGCTGCTTTGCTCAACATCAAGTACCGCTGTTCTACTCTAAATTGGCAAGACTGCATATCCGCGCGTATTATATTCTAAAGCATCGAAAAATGTGAATGTATGCATATGATGAAACTTGTAACTTAATAGAAATACGAGGTCGGGGCGTGAAAATCATAATCTAATTTTACCTCGGCACGACTCTCCTTTTCCAGTGTATCCTTCCTTACAGGTGCAGCTATGGGAGCCATTAGTGTTTGCACAATTCGCATTTACGTCACAATCATGGCTTCCTTTGCTGCATTCGTCGATATCTAGCAACGTTAGTGTTGTATAAAAGGTAATTTTAAAAAAATACAATAGTGGTGCGTGAAAACACACACAAAAAGTCAAGGTGTTATGGTGACACCAAAAAAGTGTAAATTTATGCAGCTGTGTGAGCACCATTTTGGTGTTTCATCAACGCTGAAACGGTGTTCTTTTACACCAACGTGGTGTAAATTCGTTTTCATGTCATGTAACTGAAGTGTAACTATACACCACAATGGTGCTGACTTATCACTGTTTTAGTGTACTTTAATTCTAAAAGAGTGTTCCTTGACACTGAATTGGTGTAAAATGCCTTGCAGCTGTGCCAACACCAAGACGAGGTGATTTTACACTGTTATGAATTTTACACTCAATTGGTGTAAATCAGCACTTCCACTAGTGTTATAAAACAACACCCTATGTGTTGTAGTAACACTCTTAATAGTGAAATTAACTCCAAAGCTACGAAGACATTTGAATGCGATGGGGTTCTCTTGTTCTCACCTTTATTATTTTCAATCTCAAACTCACCAACGAAACATAAAAAATAAAGCCTTAGCAGTTTTGTTCGTTCAGAAATTGCATTAAATTTGTTTGGCAGTCTTGCGCTATCATAAACTTTTAAAATGCATCTCTGCAAGGAGGGATGCACATTTACACATTCTTTTGGATACTACACATAACACAATAAATACAACAATAATAAAGTAATCGGCGCCTCTTTGTACCCCCCATTTATCTTTATTAAGAGCTCCTGCTCCCCACTGATAAAGATAATGTCTGGGGAGCATAATTTCCCCTCAAATATGATGAAGGGAGGCATTCCTGTCCTTGCCTGCCCGGCCACTTTTTTTGCTTCAGGAGCATTCTACAGAATAAAATAAGGAAACAAATCTGTATCAGTCACTTATTCTATAGTTAAGCAGTGCCAAAAGGAAGGCTGAAGGCAGTCTTTTATAGTGAATGCTTTGCCTGCCGCTCTATAGAATTGTAAGACAAGCAGATAAGGCTTTTCCGGACAAGAAACTCCAAAGAAAACTAGTAGATTTAAGTGCTTGAAAGAAGAAACAATGTTTGCCTCATGTTCTATTTCTGCTTGTAAGACAGCAGCATTCAACTGCTTCTCAGCAACAGGAAACCCTTTGTAGGAGGCAAGTGTTATTTGGCCAAACTTTCCTTCTCCCAAGGTAGCATTTGAATCATGCAATCCAAATTTAAAATTTCCCCGGGAATATCCAGTAATGTCTTAATAGGAACAACACCCTTTGAACGGGTATCGCTTTATTCCTTTTCTAGAGACATCTGGGACTGAAGTGATTTTTCTTTTTCTCGCTCTACTTGGCGCCACATTTGGTAAAATTTATCCTCCTATTTCCGGTGTAAAGCAATTTCTTTTCTGCTGCCTTTCTTTTGTATTTTTCTTGTTTTAACTCTTAAACTGCATTTTTCTCCAGTTTCCTTTTTTCTGTCCGTTTTCTCTTATTTCTAGCTAATCTCTGGCGTCATTTTGCCTCCATGGATCTTATCCAAGTTTTGTCTTGAACAGTTCCACCTCAAAAGAAACATGGAAGAAAAACTGTTTTTGTTGTTTTTGTTGTTGTTGTTTTTTTTTTGTTAGCCACCTGTCATCCCCTGCTGGTTCCCTTCACATTCCAAGTAATGAGCGGTATTAAATATTTAATCCACTCAACTTTGGAGCTAGTAAAAAGCGGAAAATCCGCTTTACATAACTATGGAAGTCCACAACATGACTGAATGGCTGGGGATAACAGTGACCATAGAAACTCTGTTCAATCATACTCTAAAAATAGAAGGGAAACTTGAAATCGGTGAAAGTTAACCAGAAGTTACAGTGAAAATAGTCTAAAGTAAGTAGACACTCGGGCTATAGAAAAACTGTCAATAAATTTGTAAAATGAAGGAGTGATTAATTGATATAGTTCCCAGAGCAGCGGAGTGCTACTTTAAGGGAATTTTTAAAACTCTATGCCTGAAAATGATTCCTACGTCAGCACAATGAGCGTTATTACGAAACATTGCACAAATCTTGCCTTTAAAGGAACAAGTTAAATCGCGAATATACAAAATTGAAAACACGAACCGCAAACGGTGCTCTTTGTCTTGTCACCTAATATGCCTTAGATATAGAGCAGAACTTAATTGGAATATTGCGTCATGTATCTGTTACGGTCATGTTGACTCAGGCAGTTTGTACTCTAGTTAGTTTTTAGTCAACTATAAATCGTTACCTTTCTTCGCCAGAGCTATATCGTTTGAATCGTCTAGGTTTTTGCTGGAAGTTGGTGTACCGTGCATAAGTGGTTCATTCTCCGCAATCTCAATGGTCTTTCCAGGCAACGGAAACGACGACTGCTCGCTCGCTTTGAGCTTTTCGATCATGGCAAGAAGTTTAGCACGGACAGCCGCTGGGGGCACGAGGCTTTTCAGACTGTGTCTTCGTTCATGCAGAATAAAGCTTCTCTATCAACTAACTCGCTTCTTGATGTTCAAGAAAAAGTAAAAACCAAACAGAAAAAGAAGCAAAACAAGTAAAGAAGATAAGAACTTGAAAAGAAAGTATCCATAACCATCAAGGTGATTGTCATTTGGCGCCAAAACTGTATTTTCGGTTTGTGGAGAAGATACGTAAGTGTCACGGTGCATTTCAAGCAAATGTTCCTAAAGTAATTGCACAGTCGTTTGAATTCGTATCTTCAAACAAGTGAAAAGTTATCTGGAGTACATCTACATCAAACGTCCTTACTGGTAACAGTTTGGAGTTGCCTTGGCCTGTAAAAACTTCATGAAACGTGACTAGAACATCGGCCTACCAAAGAAGACATCGACAAATCCTTGAAATCCCTCTTTCTTCTTCCATTCCATCACATCATCACGAGAAAAAAATTACTGAATTCATATTCCTAAAGTGTTTTCTGTCCGTAAAAATACCTAGACCGCGGAGCAAATTGACTTCCCTAAAACTGTCCGCCTTAGCGTTGATAGGTCATCGCGATGATCATCCCCATGACAAGGCAATACACTCCATCCTCTACTTTTTATGTCTGCAGTAATATAAATATTTGGGCGTAACTCGTACCAATACACGTTTTCATTGGTAGAGTTTCTTACTACAAAATTCAGCATCGATCAATGAACGCTTTTTTGTCAACTTATACTTCAAGTATTTTAGCTTGCTTGTAGTCTGAGATTCTTAGTCAACGTGACACAAATGACAACTTCACGGCATACTTTTAAGCAACGTGTCTTCGGAATCGCCGCTCTGGAGAAAATTAACCCCTTTCAGCATTCTCCTTTTGGCAGGCGACGGTCGATTTTCACCAGCTGACAACAACAGATTCACATAACTGACATACTTTCACTATAAAAGGATATGAAAGACATGTCAAGAATATTTTTGTGATTTCTCAGCCTATACGTCATTATTCTACTTCAGATCTGTTTGAAAAAGAAAACCCAGCGTTTAAGACATTTCACACTTGTTTGGTGTTTTTTAACACTGAATTGCACACACTTACACCACTCAGTGTGACTTTATAAACTGGTGGTTTTGAACCCTTGCAGGGGATTTCTTTACATAGCGAAAGGGTAAAAAACGCCAGCAAGGTGATTTATACAGTACTTTAGTTGGTGTTACTTAACACTAACTTGGTGTAATGTTCTAATTACACCTGGTTGGTGTCGTGTCAACACCAATATGGTCTATAATTACACTGCCCTTGGTGTCACCGTAACATCCTCACTTTTTCTGTGCAGGCCTCTAAAATCAGGGCTAATTTTCATGGGCGATAGCTTATGAGCAAAGCTGCTTATTTTAAATAGTGTGGGCTACTCTTATTTACCTTGACATGACTGTCCATCTCCTGTGTATCCTTCTTTGCAGGTACAAATATGAGAACCATTTGTATTGTTACAGTTAGAATTAACATGGCAAGCATGGTTGCCATTGCTACACTCATTGACATCTGTGAACAAAAATCAATTGCCAAACGTTACTTGACACGGAGACAAACATTAAATTTTTAAGTTTGATGGAGAGAGTGGTTTTTTTTTATTTTTGAGAAACTTTATTCTGCTCTTTGCTAGGTCGAATGAAGTGATTATACCTTGGCATGAATGCCCGTCTCCAGTGTATCCTTCCTTACAGGCGCAGATATAAGAGTCGTCAGTGTTAGTACAGTTCGCATTCATGTCACATACATAGCTTCCAGTGCTGCACTCGT